AAACAAAATTCTGAAAGCATTATTTAATTCTTTTAGGTGGTATTACAATTATGTGGAAGACTGTATTTTAAGACAAGTACACTCAAGTATGGACAAGTGAAGGGTGTGTATTGTTGGTGTATTTGTGTATTGCTGGTGGTGCCACAACAATACACAAATAACACATATACAAAATGTTATCAACCGCTGAATCTAAGCAAAGGAGAGAGAGTGTTCATTCTTCAACAGTTCTGTAATTATGAACATTTTTATAGTAAAAAGTTTGGGGGAAATTATTAAAATGAAAACATAAAATTTACTTCTCTGTGATAAATCTTACTGAGAGTTTATGAACCCCAAGTTGAGAATTACTGATCAAGCTAATTCATCTTTATACCTTCCAGAGCATTAACTCAAAATAATGGGATATCCCAAAACTGAAAGAAACAAACTACCAGCCCCTCACGCATAACAACAATTAAGACAAAAGGACTGAAAACAAGGGGTTTATCAAGAACTCAAACAACCAATTCAATCAAGTTTCCCTGAAAACACATACATGCATGACAAACTGGGGAAATCTCAACGAACTCTGTGGAGTGGATCAGTGCCAACTGACAGTGGCCTGCATTGGTTCTAAGCCATGCAGGCAGACATTGCGTAATGGTGCAGGCTTGTTTGCTATAATCAGATACTGGAGTCCAGGTCAAATCCTTAACTTATAAGAGCAACTGTCTGCCTTGCTTCGTTTTGTGCAACAGCTTTAGTATAAAGATGTTACCACTGGGAAAAACTGGTGCAAGGTAACTGAGACCTTCCTATAGACTCCCTATATAATTTTCTGCTAATTCTTCAAATATATAACTGTCTCAAAAACAAAAACACAACATTACAGATCTCATGTCCTGGTCTTCTCCAGTTTGAACATATCCTTAATCTGCTCTTAAACCCTTCCCACAATCAATCTGATAAATGACAAGCCTTCTTTAAAAAGAGCCCTTCAAAACCCTAAAGACAGTCAATTCTTAAAATTGTTAAAGTCTGAGAAGAAATACAAAGAGATCTGTACATCTCCTGCAAATAAACCCCTCCCATCCAGACCCCTCACTTTTCTACACAGCACCTTTACTTTCACCTCAGGGTACAATGTGAATTCTCAGTTGGCTCAGTTTTCCAGGATCACAAATCAAGTACAGAGGTGACAGGGACTCTGCGCTGCCAGCCTACAGCACATTCATTCAGGGATGCCAACAGCTGACAGCTGGGGAGAAGAGTAGCTATGCCATTTACCTCCCTACACCTACTACCCTGCTGGTCTTCTGAGCCTGAGTAATGACTAGCCTCTCAATTTCACCTACGGAAGAGACTCAAGAGTTGGGACAAATCTATGATTTTCCTGAAGAATAAGCATTCACACTTTCTGGTCTTGAGTAGAAACAGAGTAGAAGTCAGAAATCATACAGGGGCGCCTGGGTGGCTCAGTGGGTTGAGCATCTGACTACCAATGTTGGCTCAGGTCATGATCTCACAGTTCCTAAGCTTGAGCCCCACATTGGGCTCTGCACTGACAGTGTAGAGCCTGCTTGGGATTCTCTCTCTCCCTCTCTCTTTGTCCTTCCCCTCCCCCACACACAAACTAAATAAACTTTAAAAGGAAGGAAGGAAGGAAGGAAGGAAGGAAGGAAGGAAGGAAGGAAGGAAGGGAGGGAGGGAGGAAGGCAGGCAGGCTGCTCCCATCAACAGGACCACTCCAACAGCCTCTCCTGCTGGAACTGAAACCAGAAACATCAGCTGCAAATCCCCCCTTGTGCCAGCCTGCTCCCTCCTGATCCCAGATCCCCCCTAGGCCAATGCCCAAAACTTTACAAGAGCTGGTAAGTTCTTGATGTGAGGGGTAGAAAGGGCATGTTTTCCAGGGTGCCAGCTGCCTGACATCCTCTATCCATAATCAGTACTTATTCTGGGCCCTGACTGTGCCCCAAACTAAAGCACAAAGGTCACTGTATGAAAACAACACACAAGAAACATTACTGAGACACCAATATGGTAAATGGCTGATTGGGTTTGTATTTGTTCTGAAAACTCACCATCTGGTTTTCATTTTACCTGAACACATGGGTTTTGTATAATTATTTTTAAAGGAGTCCTGAAAATGCATTTGTCCAGCAATGCCTGATTTTGTAGGCAAGGAAGTACCTTTTGTATACAACTCAAAAGAAGTGGAATACAAAAGCATCTATTACACACACAGATATGTATTTCATAGCAATGCTCACAAAAGAGGAGTAAAATAAACTAAAGCACCAACAGTGGTTATTGTAAGGTGGTAGTATAAAGATTTAACTTTAAAAAATATTTTCCCAAAGGGGCAACTGGATGGCTCAGTCAATTAAGCATCCAACTTTGGCTCATGTCATGATCTCACAGTTCGTGGGTTCAAGCTACACATCGGATTCTCTGTCTCTCTTTCTCTCTGCCCCTCCCTGAATCATGCTCACTCGCGCTCGCTCTCTTTCTCTCTCTCAAAAATAAATAATAAACATTTAAAAAAAGGTATTTTCCTATATTTTACACCTTTTTTTAAAGAATGTTCATATATTGCACATTATAATCAGAGCCAAACTTAGAGGATCTTCCTCAGAGAAGATGAGGAAAGGAACACAGCCTGGCTAGTGACAAAAGTTGTCAGCCAGGGCAGCACAGGCTGAAGTGAGGAAAGAAACGCAATGCTCAGGGCTTCCAAAGTGCTTCATAAAATTCCAAAAGCTTACATTTAAAATGACACCTTGTCTGCTAGTACACAAGTCAGGAAGTATGTTAATAAATGCCAAAAATGGTATAGGCTCTGGCTACACCATTTTCCAATGCAGCACCAGCAACAGGCATAATGGCAGGAATGGAGGCTTGACAGAAAGGTGCCATCCATCATTCCACTCACAGAGGGCACTTCATAAATAACTTGGCTATTGTATTTAAATTACAGTTAACTTAGAATTTCTGCTCCTTCACTACTCTTTAATATAATCTTAAAAATAGTACTTAACTGGAAAGCATCCAATTTCCCCCTAAGATGTACACCAAGGTAGGGTCACTATAAAGCAAGAGACAGTCCATGGGTACTTTTTCATTATAAAATCTCCAGTATTCTCTCTGACAGAAGAAAAGAGAGTAGCCATCTCATAAAATGTTACATCTTCAAATATCTGTATAAAGTTCTAGTTGTTGTCCTGTAGTCCACAAGCGACGATATTTTCTAATTCTTACTAGCAAGTATTTATACTGGTGATAAGCATGTTCTTAGAGACCAAGGAGAGACTAGGGCTGAGGAGGAGACCGCTTTAGAATACTCAATTACACACCTGAGATCAATTTAGCCATTATCTCCCTAGATCGACCACAGATTTGGTGAAGAATATGGCTTGATTTAAAGATATCCCAAATCCCCACAGCTGCTGGCTAACTCTAGAATCTGCTATCTTATGATGGTAAGTTTCATTTACAAATAGGCAAGTCCGAAGCAATCATGAGAATGAAAAATGAAAGTTCAGATATAAATAATTCAAAGATGGATCTAAATCACTACAATCTAGGGGCGCCCGGGTGGCTTAGTCGGTTAAGCGTCTGACTTTCGCTTGGGTCATGATCTCGCGGTTCGTGGGTTTGAGCCCCGCGTCGGGCTCTGTGCTGACTGCCAGCTCAGAGCCTGGAGCCTGTTTCAGTCTGTGACTCCCTCTCTCTCTGACCCTCCCCTGCTCACGCTGTCTCTCTCTCTCTCCTAGAAATAAATAAAACATTTAAAAAAAAATAATAAATCACTACAATCTAGGGTTACCTTTAAAAACTAAATATGGACTTATGCATATATGTACATGCACACACATAAGAACACATACACTTACTTTTTGTCTGAGTTAATCTCCTCTTTCCCATCTAAAGCTACAGAGTAAATCCTTATGTGACCATTTCAAGAGCTATTTTTTGCTACTAAATTTTGCCAACAATCTGCTCAGCATTCTAGCAGATGTTTCTGTTTTCAAACCTCTGGGAACTTGGCTGGATCTGTTGTCTTTCCCCATGTTAAAAATAAAAGAAATGGCCCAAATGTGGCCTAATACCCTAGAGAAGCTTTTCCCCTACCCCACACCCCTCGATCTCCCTATTCATGTGACCTCCATGATCCCTTCTCAAATCTTTTCTTTTCCATTAGAGAAGATGTTTCCAATTATGGTCCATTAAGTTGCCAAGAATGACATCACTTTTTTTTTTTTTTTTTTTTTTAAACAAAAAGCTACTGATTCCTAGTTACTTGGGAGACCATCTGCAACAATTTAAACCAACTAGTCTGCTGGACCTTATAAACCCACCATGTCACAGGGGGATAATTTGTTCAAGACCGATTCTACAAACAGAACAATACTCTTACATTGGGAGCTGGAGGGACAGGGGAATCTTGTCTTTTATATAACGATTTCTTTAAAAATATTTGTGCCTCAGGACGCGTGGGTGGCTCAGTCAGTTAAGCATCTAACTTTGGCTCAGGTCATGATCTCGCAGTTCATGGGTTCGAGCCCCATGTTGGGCTCTGGTGCTGACTGCTCAGAGCCTGGAGCCTGCTTCGGATTCATTCATTTATTTCTCTCTCTCTCTCTCTCTCTCTCTCTCTCTCTCGTCCCTTCCTCCCTCCCTCCCTCAAAAATAAATAAACATTAAAAAAATTTTAAGGGGTGCCTAGGTGGCTTAGTCATTTGAGCATCTGACTTCAGCTCAGGTCACGATCTCACAGTTCGTGAGTTTGAGCCACATGTTGGGGTCTGTGCTGACAGCTCAGAGCCTAGAGCCTGCTTTGGATTCTGTGTGCATGCATGTGTCGTGCGTGCGTGCGTGCGTGTGTGTGTGTGTGTGTGTGTGTGTGTCTCTCTCTCTGCCCCTCTAACCACTTGCGGCTCTGTCTCTCTCTCTTTTAAACATTAAAAAAAATTTTGATAGATAGATAGATAGATAGATTTGTGCCTCAACCTTACCTCGGTGACATCCATAACTTTGATGGCCGCCAACTGACCGGTTTTAACATGTCGACCCTGAAAAACAGAAGAAACAGAATTGGCACCACTATTTTGCATGATCATTACAACAGAATGGTTGAAGTTTCCATAAATCATCTCTTTTGTACTTTTTTCCATAAGTGATGATGAAATAGTGCCATGTTCTCCAACAGAACAATATGGTTTGTTAATACCAATGAACCACACTTAATAAATAAGTAGTAGAACAAATGAGTTTTGATAAAGCATCAATTCCTTCTTTCTGTCTTGGGTTCAATTTACAATCTAAGCAACTTAATATTTTCTTCTATACATCAGGTTGATCACTTTTTCTTTCTTAACATTCTGCATGAACAAAACAACCCAAAAAAACCTCTAGATATTTACTGTCAAAAATTGCAAAGTTGGGGCGCTTGGGTGGCTCGGTCAGTTAAGAGTCCGACTTCGGCTCAGGTCATGACCTAATGGTTCATGGGTTCGAGCCCTGCGTAGGGTTCTGTGCTCACAGTTAGCTCAGAGCCTGGAACCTGTTTCAGATTCTGTGTCTCCCTCTCTCTCTGACCCTCCCCTGCTCACACTGTCTCTCTCTCTCTCAGAAATAAATAAAACATTAAAAAAATTTTTTTAAATATAAAAGTCATTTTTCCCCAGTGTTTCCCAAGATCCATTGCTTGATTTTATGAAAGTAATACTGAGAGTCTTCTTTGAAGCTTTCCTGCAGTCCCAAGGTAGAGAAGTTGGAAAATAATCACCCAGAACATAAGGAATTAGGGATGATGCAGAAAGACAGAGAGCTTTCTTAACAGCTATAGTATAATTCTTAACTTAGGACCTAAAACTCACTATTTCTGTCCCTGGGCATTTCAAACCAACGTCAGGTTATTCTCCTCTCACCCAGATGAACAGGGCTGGATTTAATTCCTGTCAGCCCTTTGCATCTCCATCCACTCTTTGCAATGCTCTGCTGGCCTTTTCTCAGGCAAGCAACATAGAGCCACCCAGATATCCTGAACACGATCTACTTCAGGGCTTTATGAACAATTGTCTGCAACAAATACAGAACAGAAAGAATGTCCCCATGTTTCCCAAGAGCCTGTCTCTCTTGTGGTTTCATGATGAACAGTTAGGAACTTTAGAACTTGAAACCTGAGGAAAGCTCTCCATTTAGTCTGGAAAGCTTACCCAGGAACTCAGGTTACATCTAGGACAAAACAAGTCCATGAAAATGACACTGTATTACAATTACATCTCAGCTACGTGGCTGGGGCACCATGGAGTCCTGCAATGGCAGAACAGTTCATGAGCACTAAGTGCACAGTAACAACATATAGAAAACCGAGAAAAATAAAATCCATAGGCCAAGAACCTCATCCCAACTCTCACTGAGCCACAGACACCATCACCTCCCTCCAAAGTGAACTTCCTTCCTGGTCTTCAAAAGTGGGGACACCACCTGCCACAACACATACACCTGCAGTATAGTCTCAAGCTCTGCTTCTATGACAAGCAAGGCTGTCCCACATTGGTCCATGATCCAAGAAACACTGCCTCCTGCCCTTTCACCTATTTCCCAGCTACCATTCCACCAGCATGCTGCTCCTCCAGGACACCCAGCCTCAAAAGACCTGAACGACCACCTCAGCTGCTGCATCAGTACTCTATCAGTCACCTTCCCCAACATCCTCACACAGCTCTGCTCAACAGTCTGGTACTCTTTGTGCATTAAAAGCTAAGTAATCTACAATCCTGAACAAAACTGCTGCCCTATATATATGTTACCATACAGCACACAAAATGATCTAAGAAGCCATTTGACATCTATAGAAGTTCCATCTCAGAAATGCACCACGTGGAATACAACTGTGTGTCAAGAAAGTTCTAATTTATGAACATTATATGGGCTCCCGTATTTCTGATTATACTGCCATTTTTTTACTACCTGTCTGTCCAAGATTCAGTATCTTTTGATGGTGTCCATTCTTGAATCATTCATTTAATTAAAATTTTGACCTATGTGTGGTACAGGATCTGTAACTTCAGCTTTTTTTTTTTTTTTTAATGTTTATTTATTTTGAGAGCAAGAGTGTATACACTAGCAGGTGAGGGGCGGAGAGAGAGGGAGAGAATCCCAAGTAGCCTTGGGGATGTCGGCACAGAGCCCAATGTGGGGCTCAATCCTATGAACCATGAGATCATGACCTGAGCCGAAATTAAGAGTCAGATGCTTAAATGACTGAGCCGCCCAGGTTCCCCTAACCTTAGTCTTTTTTAAGCTGTAACCCCCAGCTCTGTGCTAAGCATTAATACACAGGAAACTTAGTTGTCCTTCAGGTCTTGGGCACTGGCAGGATCCTAAAGCTACAGGACAGTGGTCCAGAATATGGACTCCCACATTAAGACTGTGTCCACACCTCATGTCCTCCACTCAGTAACACAACAGTGCCTCAGTCTCCTGTCTGTACAAGGGGGTAAGAGTGATGCCTACTTCACAGGTTTATCAAGAAGAATAACTATAGTGCAGGGGCACCTGGGTGGCTCAGATGAATGTCCAACTCTTGACTTGGGCTCAGGTCATGATCTCATTTTTTGTGCTGACAGCACTGAGCCTGCTTGGGATTCATTCATTCTCTCCCTCCCTTCCTCCCTCCCCGCCACCCCCAAATAAATCAACATTTAAAAAAAAAAGAAAAAAAAGACTTAGCAGTTTGACAGTGGCATTAAAGCTTCTAGTTGTGAATTTACTTAGTATTTGCTTTACAAAGAACTTGTGTTTCCCTTACTAAGGGATTAGAGAATAAGGACCTCATAACTAATCAATTATTTGTGTCCAGAAGGTGGACCACATAAAGGCACTAGTCTTTATTAACACAAACCAGGTCTTCCAAAATTAGGTCCATTTTAAACTTAAACTGAAATCAGAAAACCATCTAAGAATTCTGTCTCCCTCCTTTCTAAGAAACAATACAACATACTGAAGGAAATGAAATCTGGAATTCTGGCAGCACTGGGCTTTCATTTTTCTGAAACCACCTCATTACTATATTTCCTTGGGAAAGCTGCTTAACTCTGATGAGCTTCCTAGGATCACTGTATTATCCCAAAGTCCTTTTTATAATAGACAGGCTATATATAAAGTGCGTAGAGTACATAAAACCCTTGCCATCATATCTGGCACATAGTGGACTCTTGCAAGAGAGTCTTCCTCTCTCCACTCCCACCAGAGGCCCTTGCTAACCCTTTCTCCTTACCTAGCGAGGTTAGGCCCACTTCTCATTTTCAAAAGGCATGGTCAATATGGGGAAAGGCAGTGGGGTGCTAAAGTAATGTACTTATCTAATTATTTTCTAAAAAGAAACAAACAAAAAGAAAACCTTTAAGTCTGAAACAAATAATTACCTAGTCAGATGGATCATCTTTGCTTAAAAGAACCTAAAACAATGAATATGACAGCCCCGGAGAAAAACTACAGCTGGGACTGAATGTACTAAACATTTATATGCATGTTAACTGTGTGCTGATGAGGTCTAGGAAGTCGTTTAAAAGGATAAAAATGTGCTGTGATTTACTCAATACTACCCAAGACAGAATACAGCCACCCTCTTAGGGTGACTCACCTATTAAATTTAAGTTTCCAAAAGTCAGACGCCCCCACCCAACAGAGAAGCCCTAACCCATGCTCCCTTGACATCGCTTTATACTGTAACAAATGGCCCTCAGTAATACAGGAAGAGAAAATACACATAATCATAACCAACTGCACTGTGCTGGGGACTCAAGTCTACAAGAAAAGGAAAAGGCATTATTTCCCTGTAGTGTGAGGCTACACATCTACTATAGCATTCCACTCTGACCTCCATACCATCCCTTAAAGGATGCTTCAGGTTGTCTGCTCCCTAAAGATGACCAATATGACCACTTTCCTTCACCTGAGTCTGAATCCAGCATTCTGTATCTGTCACTAAAATGCCTAGCCTGGGCATGGAGAGCTCTGGAATGTAATAGTAATAGGACCCTTCCATTGTATCGTCCACTCTTAAAACATGCCCAGTATATGACTTGGTCAGTATTAAATATACATACCTAATATCCATTTATGAACTTGACTTTCTTGTCCTATTGCCTGCATTTCTTGGACATAGTGTCCCATCCAGAGTTATAAAATACCAGGAGGAAGAGACTAAGGCCCCTGTCTTTATTTATGAGGCACCATGTAAATATTAATGCATTTTTGAGACATCCAGTGAGGAAGAGCCCTCAAATACTATTCAATAAGCGATTTTCTTAGTAGCTCCTAAAAAATCTTATGAGGGCCAACTAAGCAGGTCACTCATTATCTTACTGAAAGATGAAGAACTCTAAGGTGAGTTTTATTATTAAGTTTCTGCCCAAGATACAACGGTAGCAGGATTCCTTTTCTACCATGATTATATAAAATGCAAGGGATAGACTCTTACTATTTCTATCAACGTGTTGAATTCCTGTTACTGAGGTCCTTTGTTTTTAAAGAAACAACTTAAATTACTTCCCCTCAATGCCTTCAAAGGGTTAGCAAGATTTGGAATTAAAATTGTTACTGCAATAAATATTATTTCACACAAAGTCAGATCGGCTCACACTAACCAGACCTGTCCCCTTCAGTAGAGCAAACTGTGGCATTTGATTCATTTTGGGTCTTTAATGGGGAAAAAGAATGTTTCTTTTTTTAAAAAGAAAATTCAAACTATTTTCAGCAGACGTCCAAGGTAAGGAAAATGCCCTAATTTCTAACTCTCCTTCATGATTCTAAGAGAGTCAAAATTGCCACCTTGTATCTGCAAATATGCATTACATTAATGATAACATGTTCCAAGAAAAATATACACACATACACACCACAGGATTTTAAAGTGCAAGGTCACTGTGACAGCTTGTCTGTCTGTCTCTACTGAAGTCTATCCCTAACCTACAAAGAGGAACCTAGCGGCAGAAGAACAGCATTCAATCAATGGAAGCTTTTAAACCCCAAGAGGAAAAAGATGGCGTATCACCAAGAATAG